ACTTTATCTATTCCCGGAAACCATCCATTGCACCTGCATCGTGAACCATTAATTTTTCACTGAGCCTATTGCAAGCAACCAATCAGCGTCCTTTTTTCATACCAACACACGCATTGTTGGCACGCGCACGTGTCTACTCTGGCGTGTGTCGGGGTTGGATGGGCGGCCTGCACACGTGTGACTGTGTGTATGTGTCAGGGAAGGGGGGGCACTAGCAGTCTGGGCGTTGAACGTCACAGATACAAACGTGTCAGTCTTTTTTTTTTTCCTCAGCAACTGATTATTATTACAATGATAAGCTAGACTTGATGTAGATCTACGTGATGAATTGTGCGCTGGTTTATGGAATCAAAGTTGCCGTATGCTAGGCTCTACACAGCAACACAACTTTTGGGTAAACAATTGAGTAATTGAGATGACACAGGCGTGTGCATTTGACCGAATCGATCTTTTTTTTACACAGCTCATACTCATAATAATAATAAGCAGGCATTTCAGGCACTACTTGTGACTTCAATTTATACATTACTTGCTAAGTGCCTGTAATTATCTACAAAAAACCTTGTGTTTGCTATAACGAACACTCGGATTCAACAAGATTTTAGGTCAGGCCCGGCGACCTTGCTGAATCCGAATTTTACTGTACAGTCATTATTGTACACATTTTATGACCAGTCCCATCTTCCTAATCCCACCTCTCACCTCTTGTTTCCCACGTACCATCTTATTTTCCATACCCATATCCTGGCTTTAATTCTTTAAGGGTGCTTCGTTTTCCTTCATCTCATGGAATGGAACACTTGAGGCTGGCCAAAATGTTTTTTAAAACGTCACTGTCGTCACTAACTAAAACCGGCAGTGGACGCTCCCCCTAAACGAAGCTTTAGTGCCGTGAACGCAACCTCAACAGCGCCTGCAGACTGCATTCAGGACGCTGTGAACGTAGCATGCCAACTATGTTCACGGTCCCCTGAACGTAGCCACTGCGTATAACGAAAGTTTGGTATTCTTAGGTTTATTTAAATCTATCTCTAGAATTAGAAATATTGATTATGAAATATGAATTTAGGTGATTTATTTAAAGCCCGTGGCTACGCCTACAGCTCTCCCGTACGCATACCCTCAGGGCTATATATATTATATACGGCCCTCCCTTCCTTACGTACAGCCCTCTAGGTTAAAGTATAGATTTAGATCTTATTAAGTATGCTCACGATCTTGATAATATTCTCTCTAAGCCTACTTGCTGTGCTGTTGTTACAGATTCTACCCTCTGTCGGCCATTGTTTTTTTTTTCCTCCCAGAAAGGTCGTGAGATGGGCTACCCGGGAAGCGCACAGGCCCTATATTAGGCCTATATACGATAGGGCTGACCTACTTCGACCGGGAAGCGCAAACGCCCTATAAAGGGCATTATAGATGCTGACCTTTTTCAATGGAACATTTCAGTATTCCTTATATATATGGAAAATGACGAAGTAAATTACAGGTCAAGTTATAAATAGTGACCAATGACGTTGTAAGTTATCTTGACCTTGTTGAGCGTCTCTTGGCCAAGATATCGATAGATAAAGTGATGCGGTCCAGCTGAGAGGCTACACACTACTATGTGTTCACTTGTTCCGCTGCTAATGTATTAATTGTTGAGTTCATCGTGT